CCAGGCCATCATCAACATGGAGCCCCCACGCAACGTGAAGGAAGTTCAACGGTTGACGGGCCGCCTGGCAGCCCTCAACCGCTTTCTATCTAAATCGGCGGAGAAGTCTCTACCCTTCTTCCAGATCATGAGGAAGACGGCTGGCTTTCTATGGACTCCAGAATGCCAGGAGGCTTTCGACGAGCTCAAACGGTATCTATCTTCACCCCCTGTGCTCTCAAAACCAAAGGTAGGGGAGACCCTCTATCTCTACCTTGGGGTCAGCCCGGCGGCCATCAGCTCTGTGCTCATCCGGGAGGAAGACGGCATCCAACATGCCATCTTCTACGTCAGCAAGAGCCTAAGGGAGGCCGAGCTCAGGTACTCCCCTGTGGAAAAAACGGTGTTGGCCATCGTTTGGACTGTCAAGAAGTTGGGCCACTACTTTCAGGCTCACCCGGTTCAGGTCCTCACTCATCAACCCCTCGGCGCCCTCATGAGGAGCCCCACCAGCTCCTCCCGCATGGTGAAATGGGCTATCTTCTTGAGCCAGTACAACATTGATATCCGCCCAAGGCCTGCCATCAAGGGTCAAGCCCTGGCGGATTTTGTGACGGAGTGTACCACAAGGGCAGCCACGGACGGGGAGCCCTCGGCTACCTCGGACGACTGGTGGACCCTCTACACTGACGGCTCATCCGCGACCAAAGCATGCGGGGGAGGGGTAGTCCTCATTACTCCCGAGGGCTTCAGGGCCTACTATGCAATCCGCTTCTCCTTCAAAGTCTCCAACAACGAGGCCGAATATGAGGCCCTCCTATGTGGCCTTCGGCTGGCTGCCAACATGAGGGCTCGGCAGATCCACATCAAATGCGACTCCAAGTTGGTCGTTGGCCAAATCTCCGAAGAGTATGAGGCCAAGGAGGGGAGAATGAAATAGTACAAGGAAGCGGCCAAGGAGTTGCTTAAGGTATTTGAGGCACACTCTCTCACTCAAATACCGAGGCCTCAGAACTCCGAGGCCGACATATTATCTAAGCTCTCGGCCGACTCCCCCGAGCACATCTCCAAAATTGCCAAAATCGAGGAACTCAGCCTCTCAAGCATCCATGCAAGCCCCGTTATGAGCATACAACAACGTCAGGAGGATTGGATCTCAGATATCACCGCCTTCATCTCCACAGGGCAGCTACCCGAGAATGAGGCCCGCGCTAAACTGGCAAAGCTGAGGGCTCCTAGCTACACCATCGAAGATGGAAGGCTCTACAAACGATCTTACAATGGCACGCTACTTCGGTGCCTTCATCCAGATGAAGCCGAGGTCGCAATGGAGGAAGTGCACAGTGGCACTTGCTCAGCTCACCAGGGACCCTTCTCCATGTCCCGAAGGCTCATTCTCCAGGGCTACTTCTGGCCAACCATGGCCAGGGATTGTGCTGACCTTGCCCGGAGGTGCACCGCATGTCAACATTTCCAGAAGGCTCCCGGCAGGCCAGCGGTCAACTATGCCCCCATCAGCACCTCTGTCCCCTTTTCTCGATGGGGGATAGACCTTGTGGGCCCTCTGCCGAGGGGTACCTCCAACAACAGATACATCATCGTGGCCGTCGACTACTTTACCAAGTGGGTGGAGGCTGAACCCCTCGCCAGCATCACAGAGGCGAAGTGCCGTCACTTCGTCCTCAAGAACATCCTCACAAGGTTTGGCGTCCCCCAGCAGATCATCTCCGACAATGGGACACAATTTGAGGCAGCCCCCTTCTGTGCTCTTCTGGAGGCATGGGGCATCAAACACACCTTCTCCTCCGTTGCCTACCCTCAAGGCAACGGGCAAGTAGAAAATGCCAACCGGACCTTGCTCGAGGGCCTCAAAAAGAAGCTAGAGGCCGAGGGCGGTGGCTAGGTGGAAGAACTCCACAACATCCTTTGGGCCTATCGCACCACCCCTCGGCGAGCAACAGGTGAAACACCCTTCTCCCTCTGCTACGGTTTTGAAGCCAAAGCTCATACGGAAGTCACCCTTCCCACCCGAAGGGTGATCCAATATGACCCCGAGGTCAACGACAGCAACATGGCCCTCGACCTCCACCTCATTTCAGAACGCCGGGAGCAGGCCTTCATCCGAGCAGAAAACTACCGAAGGCAAGTTAAAAGCTACATCGACGCCAAAGTTCGCACCCGAGAATTTCAAGTGGGGGACTATGTCCTCCGGAGGAGGGAAGCCAGCCAACCAACCGAGGGAGGAAAAATGGCACCAAAATTCGAAGGCCCCTACATCATAGCAGCCATCATCAAACCCGGGACCTACAAGCTCAAACGCCCCAACGGGAAAGAAGTCCCTAGGCACTGGAATGTACACCACTTAGTTAAATTTTACCAATAATGTAAGAGCGGCCAAGCCCTCATAACTAGTGAATGTACTATCTTATGGCCCAAGGCCTCCAATTTCGAAGAATGAAGATACATTCAAGACATCAAGCCCTCATACTGACTACAGGCCCAGCGCCTCACCACGAGAAAAACCCCCTCCGGCACCAAGTGCCGAGGGCGGACGCCATCAACACCTACAAACAGTGAAAACACCACGTGTTTTCAGTCAAGACCCCTCAGTACCAAGTGCCGAGGGAGGGAACTCCTATCACCAACAACAAGGAACGCCATGTGTTTCATTTCCCTTCGGCACCCAGTGCCGAGGGTACATCCCCACCTTCAACATCAAAAAAGAAAAGATGAGAACACCAAGTGTTCCTACAGAAGACCCTTCGGCACCCAGTGCCGAGGGTACACCTCCATCATCAAATATCGAAACGAAGAAAAAACACCAAATGTTTCAAAGAAGACCCCTCGGCACCCAGTGCCAGGGATATGCTCTCCTATCAACTTCCAAACATCTGTTGGGAAACACCAAGTGTTTCATTTGAAGACCCCTCGGTACCAAGTACCGGGGGCTACACATCGAAACTAACACCAAGTGTTGTTTCTAAAAGCCGTACCCCACGAGGACGCATATACCGAAGGCGCCACCATCGGTGCCGGCGGCACGTAGTGCCCCCGGCCATTTGCAACTAGTGTGCAAATGAAAACCCTTCCTTGAAACGCTTTCCGCGTCACTACCCCCAGGGTATGACAGGCATGAGAAATGCCCAGGATTCGACTTTCAAAAACGGAACGCTATCCGCGTCACTACCCCCAGGGTATGACGGACATGAGAAATGCCCAGGATTCGACTTCCAAACCGAAACGCTCCCCGCGCCACCACCCCAAGGGTGTGGCAGGCCACGGACTATGTCTGGCGCCGAGGGGACGACTTTCAAAAATGAGGCGCTTTCCGCGCCATCCCCCAAGGGGAGGCAGGTTACGGACCACCATATCTTGTGCCCAGGAAACGACCCTCGATCCCCTCGGAACTCGGAAGGTTAACCCGAGGGAGGAGAGCCATTGGTGTATTCTGATGGTCTCCTAATAGGCCCAGCCTTACCAAGAAACCAAGTTTCTTGATGCCTTCCCGTCACCACCAACCAAAAAAGGGGGGGGGGGGGGGGTGAAGGGGAGTAGACTTAACGAGAAATCAAAGAGTACACTCCAACAGATCACAACAAGCCGAGGGCTCCCCACGGGAACACCTCCGGTAACTGAAGACTCCTATTTCCCGAAGGATACTACTCGAACAAATAGCAGCAAGGAACGGCTAAGTCCACTGCCTGGTCACCTCCGGTCACACAAACACCGAAGGCTTCAACAATACAAAGGGACTGGACTATCCAAAGTACACTAAGACGATACCTTCAAATATGTACCGAAGGCAGCTGTTATACATTAATACCGAGGGCCCCTACCCGATTACAAGGGACACAACTGGCTGAGTCAAACTCTACAACTCTTCAGAGTGTGTGCCGAGGGCACACACTCCTCATTGGCTTTCTTCACAACAACAGGATTCAACATCAATTTACGCAAAGTAATGTAGAGTCAGAGGGCACCTATCACCCGAAGGCTACACAAGGAAGCAGCACTTGAAAAAATTCTAAGTCCTAAAGATTGGGCCCCCGGCCCAATGAGCATTACAGCCAAGGGAATATGGTAGCCGAAGGTCATGCAATACAACAACACTTGAAAAAATATATTCTGTCCTAAATGAGCAGCCCCCGGGCATCTGGCAAAGTGATGTGGAGTCAGAGGGCACCTATCACCCGAAGGCTCCCAAGGGAAAATCTACACTTAGAATATTTTCTAAGTCCTACATATTTTCCCCCCGGTCAACTACTCATACATCAAGGAGGGATGCCATCTCCCGAAGGCTCCCAAGGGAAAATCTACACTTAGAATATTTTCTAAGTCCTGCATATTTTCCCCCCGGTCAGCTACTCATACATCATGGAGGGATGCCATCTCCCGAAGGCTCCCAAGGGAAACTCTACACTTAGAAGATTTTCTAAGTCCTACATATTTCACCCTCATCTCAAGGGACCTAATTGCCGAAGGCTGCCTATCAATCGAAGGCTACAGTACACAAGGAATCAACACTCAAGAAAATTTCCTAAGTCCTAAAGAATTGGCCCCCGGCCTACTCAATATTTCAGTTGAGGCTCCACAGTAGCCGAAGGCTACGTGACATACTACACTTGCAAAAAATCTCTAAGTCCTGTGCATTGGGCCCTCGGTCCAACGTTCACACATCAGGAAGGGATGCCATATCCCGAAGGCTCTCAAGGGGAAATCTGCACTTAGAAATTTTTCTAAGTCCTAGGATTTGGGTTACTACAAACGCCCGAAGGCCTCATGCTGTGCTACACTTAGGAAAAATTTCTAAGTCCTAATTGCTGCTGAACCCTCGGTTGCATATCCAGCAGAGGGTGCCCAACTACTGAAGGCTTCCAGGGGCAAGCTACAGTCAGAAAAAATTCTAAGTCCTAAAACATACATTCAAAGGAACAAAGGCATGCATCCATAGCAAGACGAAGGCATATATTCGACAATGAACAAATCAAAAGGAAGCATGTTATATGTCAAAAGCCCGAAGGCATATATGTACTCATTCATTAAAAAAAGGGAGTTTAAATGCACTGTTACAAAGGGGGCCGAGGCCAACAATTACAACACAAAAGGGGGGATTACAATTCAAGAAGGGGGTACTGTGGACATCGCCTCGCTCTCGGCTTCATCTTCTTCACCCCCAAGGCCGCACTCCCGGAGGGTCTCCGAGTCTTCAAGAACTGGCCTCTCTTCCCCCTCGGGGAGCGGGATCCTGACATCTGGCTGGCGGGGGGGGGGGGGGGGGGGGGGGGGAGACCATAAGCTTCTGGACGGAACTCCTCCGGTGCAACCTGAAAGTGCTTCGCAAGCTTCCGGTAGATGAGGCGTTGGGTGAAGAACTCCCCGCCTTGGTAGTACGAGTCGCCCCTCTCGGCAAGCCACATCTTTCTGGGGCCCCCGACCCACTCGTCTACTGAAGCCCCCACCACCGAAGCGAGCCACTCCCTCCGGTCTTCGGCCTTCCACCCTTCGGCCGTGAAGCTGATCACCGCATCCTCTCGGGCCTTGGAGACGGCCTCTTCTTGAGCCGCGCGGGCTTCATCGGCAGCAATACGGGCGGCCTCGGCGGCAGCCTCCCCGGCCCTGGCTAGCCCCTCATTGACCCCTTCGGCCCTTGCAGCCTGCACCCTCTGCTCCATGGCGTCGGTGGCCAGACGGAGAGAGTCCTCGGCTTCAGCAAGCTTCTTCCTGAGGAGGGCGGCCTCCCCCTCGGCGGCACCCTTAGCCTCCCTCATTTGATCCACCCTTCGGAGGTGCTCGCAGAGGCCCATAAATGTCTGCAATTCACGAAGGCAAGAATAAGGCATAATGAACATAATACAGAAGGAAAACATAACAATGAGCAAAGAAGGGAAGGTGACTTACGGAGGCAGCATTCAGGAGGACCTTCGCCTCGAGGGATCCCTCGTCCAGCCGGGCAAGGGCCAGTCGGTTGGCTGACGGCAGCATCTGGCTCATCAGAGCCGAAGGGTTCAAGCTGCCCTCCAACACGGAGGCCCCCTTCGGTACTAACGCCTCCAACCTCTCCCGCCCAAAGAACTCCTGATTGATTTGTTCCTGGGGGGTGGAGGCAGAAGCGTGCCCTTCGTCCACAATCACCACCACATCGGTGATCGGTTGTTTGGTAGGGGCGGTGGTCTTCGGCTTCTTGGCCGGGGGCTCGGTCCCCTTTCCAGCAATCTTCTTCTTAACGGGCCCAGCACCCTTGGACCCTCCGGCGCCAGCAGCAGCGCCAGCAGTTTGAGAGGGCCCCTCCCTGGCAGAAGCGCCCGCCGGGGCCTTCTTCTTCCCTTTCGCGTTTTTCAAAGCGAAGAGGGAACCAACGTCCATATTGTTACCTGCAAGCAACAAAAAAAAACAGAAACAGGAGGGTTAGATCGAAGGCTACCAGTTACTACGTCATAAAAAAAAGCGGAATAAGAGAGAACTATCAACGCATCAGTGAACAATTCGGTGATCACCTCCGGCGCCTTCGAAGACCCTATCGAGGGGAGGGTATCTTTCATCCGAAGAGCCCCTCGGCCTGAACTGCCGGAAGCCCAGGTTAAGCAAATCCTCCGGAAGAGTGACTTCTCTGATCTTGACATGCTTGTCAGACCCCTCCGGCTTCTTGGCAAGCACTTTTCCATTCTTCTCCAAAGCTGCGCTCCCCACCTTCGGATGGCGCCGGAAGCTATTACGGAGCTGGGCCGGGAAGGGGTTCTCCTCGAGGCGGATATAGCAGAACCTCTCTTTCCACCCCTTGTGAGACGAGGGCACATCATCAAAAAGCCGGAACTCCAGTACCTGCTGAAGGTTGGCAAAGCCCTCAGCATTTGAATGCCCCCCCCCCCCCCCCCCCCCGGCAAAGGTTGAAGGACATGAAGAATTGATCAAGTGTGGGCTCGACCCCCCGGCTCTGACACAAGGAGAGGAAGCCGGCCACATAGGAGTGGCTGTTGGGCGTTAGCTGGCAAGGGGCCAACCCCACAAATCTCAGATACTCCAAGAGAAAAGGATGGAGCGGGAACCGAAGCCCCATCTCCACCGAGAGGGTGTGAGCAGCAAAGCACCCCTCGGGCGCGTATCGCAGCAAATCATCCGCCCAAGGCTCCACCACGCGCGCCGAAGGTCTAACCAGCATCTGGGTGGACTGGTATTCTGCCGGGGACGCCTTCGTCTTCAGCTCTAGAGCGGCAGTATTCAAGAACGAATGGCCCTCGGGTATGCCCACCGGCCGCCCGACATCCACTGCCGCTTGCTTCTTCCTCGGGGCCGCCTTCATCTTGTGTTTCTTCCCGGGAGCCACACTTATGGGCGTCGGGTCCAATGGCCGGGAGGAGCTGGCTTCCCCGGCACCCCGGGGGGGAGGAATGGCAACCGTCACCTTCAGCCTCTCCCTGTCCTCTTCCTGCTCGGCGGTTTGCACGGCGAGGGCAAGCTCTTCATCCTCGTTTTCTTGCTCGAAGCACTCAGCTTCGACTTCGGCCTGGAGGTCCTTCTCCACTTCCATGGCCACTGCGGCATCACCACCTGCCGAGGACTCCACACTCGAAGACTCCACATCTGAGCATGTCTCCATCTCTACCGAAGGCTCCCCCGAGATATCCTGGGAGTCGCTCTGTGATGACATCTGCTCACTAATTCGAAGGCTCGGGAAAACTAAGGTTTCCTAGGAAATTTTATCTCCTAAACTAGGGGCACAAGGCACAGCTAGACTAGAAGGAGAAAGGCGGGGGGAACTGACCTTGAAAGCTGAGTTGTTACCGAAGGCTGGAGTTTCTCTCTCTAGAATTTTTGCCAGAGCTTCGCTACACTGAGTTCGCACAGCGGGGAATGGCCCTGGCCTTGGGGTATTTATAGGTGATGGAATCCGGGCTTGGGCCTGGATTCCGGGCCTCCGGATGGACCGCCATCATTACACACCGCGTCCTCACCCAACCAGTGATGCCGCCCACGGACAGCCAGCCATCACGCGCCACGTGCCCCCCCAACGGCTATATCCTGACGTTACGTATTCCAACGGCTATATTTCCAACGGCTATATTCTGGAAGCCCCCGGGTTTTCTACTGCACTCCGCTACATCAAGGAGAGCCTCCGGGTACACTTACCCAGAGACGCCCCCGGGATGTGCCCCACACAGCCCATAGCAGATGCCTTCGGGCTCACCCCTTCAGAAACTCAAGGCTTCATATCAGGGCACCCCTCGAGGATTCCCCCTCAGCACTGCAAAACCGGGTAGCCCTCGGGGAGTTGCCTCATTGACGGGTGAACCATGACACACAGGTAATGGGAGCCCTCGGGTATCTTCATCACCAACTAATCAACAAACAGTGGACCCCCGGTAACAACTCTACTGCTGCCCTCATCTGGCAGGCCCTCGATCCCCGAATTGAGGGGCTCCCCTTCGGTGCCACCAGGACATCAACAGCAAGCCTTCGGCTAATCAACACAGGAGCCCTCAGAAGAGAGAGCCTTCGGCATTCCCGTCATTCTCCATTTTTTACCAAGGTTTGACATTTTCGATTCATCATTGGGGGAATTCGGTGCACTCTTTTTCCCTCATTAGGATTTTTTCCCACATGGTTTTTCCTAATGAGGTTTTTAACGAGGCATCCCCCCAAAATGAAACGAAAAGCGTCAGCCTTCGGCCCACAACAACAACGTAACTACTTTACTCCTTTTCACCGCTTTACAAGTGCCTCAAGGAGTGGGGGACTGGAGGACCCCCTCGGGAAAATCATTAAATTACAAAATTAGTGAAATTCCGACAAACGACAAGGCAAGCCCTCAAGTCCCGACATGTGGGTAACTGAGGGACTGCCTTCGGCAGGGACATGAAAGCAACAACTCCTCACCAACTTCAGAGATCACGACGGGACAACATCAAAGGGCAAGCACAAATTACTCCTTTTCCCTCAAGTACCTTTCGGCAAAAGGAGTGAGGGACTCCTGATGGAGTATATGGCCCGGGAACCCCCGGCCCACAGACTCCTACTACTCCAGCGAAGGCCCAACAGGCCCAAATCACAGCGCCCAGAGTACCAAGAAGCCCGCACTACGCGCCAGGGGTGCCTTCGCCCCCCTGGCCGAAGGCTCTAAACTCTCACAGAACGGGTTTCTCAAGCAAACTAAGAAACTGGGAGAAAACGGCGAAAACAGTAGCCCTCGGCACTGTGAGCCCTCGGCACCAAGGTGCCATCGGCTGGAGGAGCCCTCAGCTACTGCTCTATAGCCGAAGGCATCTCACTCGACAAGATATCCGCCTCACATGCGTACAGATCACCGTACCCTGTACAGACGTCCCATCCAACAGCCGCATTAAATGCGGCCACATGCGGCTGCCAGCGCCAACCAGTTGAGGTGACCCCTCGGCCAATGAGCGCTTGACACGTGTCCCTGTCCGGCATTTATTGCTACTATAAATAGCACCCCATTTCCCCATTTGTAACCACGCTGAAAACAGCATTCATACTGAATACACCCTCTCTACATTTACTTGTTTGCTCTGACTTCTCTCTAAGTTATTCCCCGCAATAACCCTTCGGATATATACCCAGGGTAGACTATCCATCATGTGGCTTACGGGCTCTCTTTGGACCCTTACTTGCTCTCGGCTTAGGCCCCGGGGCAGGTCCAGCTGGGTTTTGCTGAACCATGGGGCCATCTCTCTGTAAGCTCTCTCTATACTGGACAACGACGGAGTGTTGTGGATTGCCCAAGTCCAACAGATAGTCCGGTATTGTCATCCCCATAGCGTCATGTTTGAAGCGCTTGAAGTACTGGAGCTTGGGGGCAGTGTACTGATCCTCATCTCTGCGCTTTGGAATCCCTGGGTGTGCGGTCATATATTCATTAATGATGAGCGCCAACCATCTGGCGTAGGGAATCGTCATGCCCGTTTTTTCCGTCCTCTTTGTCCTGGACTTGAGTCACCAGCTTGATCCAGAATAGCTGCGCCATGTCATAATTTTTGTTGAAAACGATCCCATGGAAGATTTGGAAAATCTGCATGTTGCACTTGTCATGGCCAGCGTGCTTTGGAGATAGGCACTTGTTGACGAGGCCAAACAATGTCTTCCATGGGTATGGCAGGTTCATCAATTTGAAGTGAGACAGGAATGGCAGTGGTGCATCATATCCCAATCTCTCCAACCCTTGCATCAGTTCAGTCTTTGAGGAAAGCGGATCATAAGATTGGCGGACAGGCAGCTCCAGAGTGGTTCTTAGTGTGGACGATGTTAATGCCAGCCTTCTGTTGTGGAGCGTGGCACTGATACTAGATGCATCCTTCTTGGAGGGCATGTGCATGGTCCCCCATAACTTTTGCAGATAGATTTCGGGGACCGGTATAGCTTTGGTGAGTGCCGGCCAGATGTAGTTCCCCTTAAGAATGACAGGGATAACTGGGTCAGGGCACTTGAAGACGGCAAGGTCTAGCTGGTAGTTGTTGTCTTGTAGCCGAACCCACTTGTTTTTGGGGAACAGCTGAGTATAGAGTGCATCCTCCTGGGAGGTATCTTGTTGAGTGCCTGACATATTTAGCTGAAAGAATAGCACACGTTAGCAAAAGAATGAGTTTCTCCTTGGGGTTGATGATTTATGAGATGAAGAAACGAGTTCTGGCACCAAGTTATAAAACTCGAGATCATGGACATGAGTTTACAAGCTCGAGGCCATGAGCGCGAGTTTACAAACTCAAGCCCATGAACGCGAGTTTACAAACTCGAGGCCATGAACGCGAGTTTACAAACTCGAGCCCATGAACGCGAGTTTACAAACTCGAGGCCATGAACGCGAGTTTACAAACTCGAGCCCATGAACGCGAGTTTACAAACTCGAGGCCATGAACGCGAGTTTACAAACTCGAGCCCATGAACGCGAGTTTACAAACTCGAGCCCATGAACGCGAGTTTACAAACTCGAGCCCATGAACGCGAGTTTACAAACTCGAGCCCATGAACGCGAGTTTACAAACTTGAGCCCATGAACGCGAGTTTACAAACTCGAGCCCATGAACGCGAGTTCACAAACTCGAGCTCATGAGTGCGAGTTTACAAACTCGCGATCTGCCCTCGAATTTGAAACGCCGGAAAATGAAGCCAAGCATTTTAACTCGAGTTGCAGAAGCTCGTGTTTTCCCAAAGAAGACGACATCCACCTGCAAAGACACAAAATCATAATAAACATTCAACCAAAGCTTTTTGAATTTTTGTGAAATCGCGTTTTCGGTTTTGGGACGGTTCGTGGTAGCGTTCGAAAAACAGAGTTTGATGGGAGCGATCTGGTGTGATGGGGAGATCGAAGTGAGGAGCTACCTTGTGGAGAGGAGTTTGGGGAGATTTGTGAGAGGGATTGAGGTTGGGGAAGACGACGGAGGAGGAAGAAGAACTCGAGCTCTGGACTTTGCGAGAAGGAAGGCGTAAGAAATGAGGAGGAGCGAGATCTGAGGGTTTATATATGCGAGTTTAGGAATGGGCCTTGAGAAAAGAAAAAGGTTTGGGCCAGAACCAAGTAGCTGGGCCCATTTGGTTTTTAGCTCGACTAATGACCCATTTCTGACCAATTAAAGTACTCCCCCTCGCTGAAATCAACACACACTATTTTTGGGATTTTCAAAATTTCTCCCCCTCGATGAATGCAATGCACACACACTATTTTTGTATTTTTCTCGGGTTTCTCCCCCTGGACACATGCAACGCACACAATACACATAATGCAACTCACACACACTATTTACAGACACACGCACGCACACTTTGTACAAGTCCTACACACGCACACCTTTTTACAGACCAGTGGAAACAAAATTACATAGGCTCGAGGTTCAACATGCCTAATTTGGAAACCAAAAACTGGAATCTCTTTTCATCCAGTGCCTTAGTAAACAAATCAGCCAGTTGAAGCTCGAAGCTTACAAAGTACATGTCAATATCTCCTTTCTCCACGTGGTCCTTGATGAAATGATAGAGCAGGTCGATGTGTTTGGTGCGGGAGTGATGAACCGGGTTGTTGGTGATGGCGATGGCGCTCTGTGAGTCACTGTAGATCGGGATATGGCGGAAAGTGTAACCGTAGTCCTTTAGCTGGGTCTTCATCCATAATATTTGAGAACACTAGCTAGCAGCCGCGACGTATTCTGCCTCGGCCGTAGATGTTGACACACAGTTCTGTTTCTTGGAAGACCAGCAGACTAACTTATCGCCC